GCTCCTGCATCTACGTACCACATAATGAGTCACAGAGGGTGCACATACTGTCGGGTACTTTCACTGAATGAATTTTGAGTACATTAGTCTCAAATCTGGTCATTATGCATAAAATTTGAATGGACATGAGCAACTTCTACAATACGGTACGGTCTAAAGCACAATTTAGTGAGCTTTGTTTTGTTACGTCAACACTTTAATGAGGACATTGTCACAATTTGGTTTACCTTGGAAAAAAAAAGTATTCAGATTACACCTTATTACCATCACTAATATTAGTATGAATATCATATACTAATACTCTGCGCCGTATTTATTGGCAATATGAGACAGATTTTGAACAGTATTGTTATTGCATGTTTTATCCTTTGTTCTTATTTCTCCCTTACTCACACTCTGTTATCGGCCATCGTTCAGTGAGACATAAATATGTGTGTGTGTGTGTGTGGTATAGTGCATTTGCATGTGTGTGCATTTATGCGTTTGTATCATGAATGTCTTGTATAATCTAGTCCGGTTTGTCACTGCTTGGGGCTCCTTGCTGCGTGAGCGTATGCCAGTACTCGACTTTCTTCCCTTTGTTTTTGAGACACTCGAACCAGTGTTTGAGTCTCTCTCCGCTCGCATTGATGCCCAGCTCCACTCCTCCTGCAAACACACAGAGGGAGAAGCAGAGGAAACAAAGAGGAGTCAAGAGGCGAAGGAAAACGTGTTTGCTGGTGAGGACGATTGGTGATAAAAGGAGACAGAAACTGGGAGAAGGTGAAGATGACTAATAAGGAAACAAAATAACTAACAAACTAAAGAAAGAAAAAGTTGAGTTTGCTTTTCATAATTTTTTTTTTAAATACTCTTTATGAATCTGAAATTCCTGATCATTTTAGCATAGCTATCAGAGGGAAAACAATCGCAACACTCACTTATGTGAAATGTTTGCAGGGACCAAAGAATGGTCCAGATCTTTCTAAAGAGCCCCCAAAAATCTGGGAAAAACTGGATCCTTACCAATGCACTGTACATTATCCTGGGACCTTACAAAACATTATCTTTACAGTTTAAGTAACACATTTCTCATGAATTGGAGTGGCAGTGTAGAGTGGAATATAATCAAGTTCAGTACCTCAAAATTGTACATTAGTACAAGGCGTGTTTAAAGATTGATCGAATCTACCGACAAAAAACAAAAAAACAAAGCATCTCTGCTTTAAATTTTACCCCTGTCTGCTCCTAGATCTTCTCCTTGTGAAGCACTGTGAGCATTAAGGCACATCTGCTATGCTTGGACTGCTCCCCAGAAGTTCCAAACATAGCGAGAGTTAATCGTCCAGTTTTAGCGGTCATTATTGGGGAAGCCTGCAGACTCCAAGCTTGAAGAAGGGGCATTAGTTGGAGCACAAGCAGGAGCATATGCTCACAGCTTTATCAACTTTTTCAGGGTTTTGCATTGTGAATTTGCTCCAAAGAAGTCCAACTGGACCACAATTTGTGTCCCGAGGCATCAAAAAAAGAACCATAACTGCACACAGCTTGAGTTATGGAGCTCGCCCTCGTGCCACCATCCACCTACCAGTGCTGGGTAATCACATTACAGTTTTCTTCAAAGTAATGTGTACTGTGATGAATTCATTAATTACACCTACTGTAATACTGTTACAGATGTTAGTGATTAATGATCATCAAATGTGCCTTTTTCTCCTGAACATTTCCCTAATCAGCTGATTTCAGTTGGGCAGGGAGTGGACTGCAGCCTTTGAGAGGTGGCATATAGATATTGCTTTTATTTTTATTTTTTATTGCATGATAAGAACAATAGCTTGATCGTAAAGTGCAGATTGCATCCAGGACAGAAGCAGCTAACCATTGCTTGTGATAAGAGAGCCAATGCTCTCTGTACAGACAGCATGCTAACACAAAGCTAGCCAAGAACACAGAGTGAAGTGTAGGGATGGGAACTGATAAGAATTCAGTGCTGCCGATTCCATTACTGATTCTCCTATTGAGTTCTCACTGGCTCTGCTTTGAGAGTGACCACCATCGCTAAGCAGAATATCATAAATGTTACATTTGTGCAAATTTCTCTGTAAAATGACCTGAAACACACTGTCTCATAATTACCATTTAACAATATAAACTGAGGCCACACACCAACACAAATGCCAATCCTAACAAGGACACACATGCTATCTTTCTCTTAGTGTTTAGGTATGAACACAAAGTTAACAGCACAAAGCAAAGATGAAAACCAGCACAGAGACTTTCAAGTGATTTTACTGTAGAAACATGAACAGGTGGAAAGGAAAGCTGCAGCCTGACCGATCATCAGTTTGTTACCTGTTGAATTTAGGGTCTGGCTGCTTGGCTGGGGTCAGCATTCACTCAGCTTTATCACCACTCTGGGTTCTTGGCTAGCTTAGCATTAGCATGCTGTCTACAGGATGCAGTTTGGACTTTATCATTGCGCTCTTGTCCATTTGTACAATACAAATAATGCTAATCTCCATATCCACTCTACACACTATTTTCCACCTCCTGAACATTAACTGAAATCACCTGATTGTAGCGCAAGTGCAACTGAAAAGATAAGTTGATAAGCAATGACTGATCAATACTGATTGATAGGAGAGCACACTAATAATCCCCGTCCCTAGTGTGGTTAAAGCTGAGTGTATGTATGCTGCCCCCCAGCACAGCAGCCAGAGCAAAAACAGCAATGATCAGTCAGTCTTGCAGGACTTTTGTCTTATGTTCTAACGAAACACCACTGTGGCGATTGCTGTAAAGTGTTTTTGGGGCTGTTGACTTTGTACTCATATTTAAACACTAAAAGAAAGGTCTCTGGTGTCCTTATTAAGACAGGAATCTGTGTCAGTGTTTAGAAGGTAAAATGCATCTCATGCTATGCTACTGAGTAACACAAGAGTAATGTAATTACTGAGTATTTCAACTAGTTTTTTCTCCAAGGACTGATTAATGCATTACTTTTAAAAAAAGTGACAAGTACCTTCTTCTGAGTAGTAACCCCAACATGGCCACTAGCATGACCACACACATAGCACAATCATTGTAGCTCTGAGATCCAGCTTCTAAATGTGATCATCCTTCCCAAAATATAATTAAAAGTGTGAGGAAGGAAAGGGAATCCAGTGTGGGATAGAGATGAGCAATTGCAGCTCATAGTTATACTTCCAGGAAGCAAGTCGAGGAACACTCAGGGCGCTTCATAACTACATGACCTTAAGAACAGCAGCAATATTAATAAATGTATGTTTTCTGTTGAAGAAGTGCAAACCAGTTGTTGTTGGTTTTTTTTGTTTTTTTTAACTTTGTTGTTAAAAAGTAATCTTTAATAATATTTAATTAGGAACAGCCAACATATAATATATACAATATATTAAAATTTATGTAAATATCTTTATTTGCTGCCAGACTGTCATGGAAGGACAGAAGGAAGCAAAAGGGCCTTAATGTCAAATTTTTCCTGACGGAGAGAAAGAGAAATTTAAGGTAGCTGGAAAATAACAATAAATTGAAATTTTGATGACTGATTTTACAAGCATTGGATGCGCTGGGAATAAACAAGTGGAGAAACAAGAAATACTTCAAGTGAGGTAATGGAGCCACTGGCGGAGAGGCGCAACGTATGATAAAGCTGCACACAGCTGTCAAGCTGGGGATACAAAGCCTTTCTCATGGCTGTGATTGCACAGATAATGGAGCATAAAGTTTTAAACCCAGTATTCTGACAACGCTGACATCTAAAAAACATGAATAACAATGCCTCAAATACTGACAGCCACGAGCAAACAAGGCTCGGTTTTTGATCTACGCCTTTTCTGAGCACGGGACCGAGCGTCGCCTGAGACGCTGCTGCTGGGAGGAGAAGAGGAGCGATCTACAGATCATCCCTCGCTTTCCTCTCACAGAATCATGCAATTGTAGAACAGGTCTAAACCTGTTGACAGAGTTTCGATAGGATAATCACGCACAACACTTTGTCATTTTCACTGCACGCCCCCGCAGCACTCCCACCACCTCCCAACAGTGATCGATGGAGTGTTCCCCCGGGCCCACTGGCTGCTAGTGACAAACGAATGGCCAGCCATCCTGACACACACTGGGGGACAGAAGAAGGATGAGGAACTGGAGCCGGGGGGAGACGTGGCGGCTGACGCACAGGCTGGTGAGCAGGTGCGTGCAAAACTCGCACGGTTTTACCCCTGCTCTCTCCTCACTTCTCCTCTGCTGCAGATCCCTCTCATTAAACCTCACCAGCGGATGAATAACTGCTTGTGGTGAACCAAGCATTTAGCAGAGCCATAGATCTGAAAGAATCAATAGGCGTCAAAGTTCCTACTGAAACACTGAACTGCATCTGAATTTCTCTGTTCCACACAACTTTCCAATCCTTTTATGGGTGGAGGCGTGTCCAGCAGTGTTTTTGGGCCATCAGATCAACAGTTTTACAAACACCAACCTATTAATGTTCGATCACTCAAAGTCTCACAAAGTCCCTCACAGGACTGACACCTTTAGGTGAACACGAGTAGCTGAAGGTAAATTAAGGTTAATAAGTGTTTAAAAGAGAAACCATTAAGACTTGATGTGTATTAAATTACATTTGACTTTTTGAGCAAGCATGTTGCATAGCTTTATATGTTAAATATTAAGCTTATTAATTTTGGTAACCTGGTCTTATCCCTCATAAACATCAAGCAATAATTTAAAGTCTTTTTTTTTTGCGTGTGTATACATTCAAAGCTCTCGACTTCCACAGCTTTATATGCAACATGTTCAAATTAAACACATTTTAAATGAAAATACTAAGGGAAGCACAGATGACTTTAAATTTTCTAACGGACACTTTTTACCTGCCCTCAAAATTTGAACTGGAGCTTGATTTGATGGCAGCGCAGTAACTGGATTCATGGGTTTCTGTCTGTGCAGTTGTTGCATCATTACATTGCAATAAACATAAAGTCTCTTGCGATTTGGCATCGTGATTAAAACCAAGATCGAACTGAATCTGAGATATCAGACTTGGAACACAGTCCCACTGTTTTGAGACTGTGCTCGCGTGGCCTTTTCATCAACTCTTTATCCGCTTTTTTGGCTTTGAGACTTGACTTTGAAGGGAACCGATTGGAAACAGCTCAGAGGTTTAGATTTGGCTCATGGTGAAGATGAAATTTCCCAACTCTCTTCATGCGCATGTTGCTCCCTCAGTTTATCCATTCAATTCATTGCCTGAGTTTACTCACCTCTGTGATGTGACATCCTCTACATACAGTGGCTTGCAAAAGTACTCGGCCCCCTTGAACTTTCCTACATTTTGTCACATTACAGCCACAAACATGAATCAGTTTTATTGGAATTCCACGTGAAAGACCAATACAAAGTGGTGTACACGTGAGAAGTGGAACGAAAATCATACATGATTCCAAACATTTTTTACAAATAAATAACTGAAAAGTGGGCTGTGCGTAATTATTCAGCCCCCTTTGGTCTGAGTGCAGTCAGTTGCCCATAGACATTGCCTGATGAGTGTTAATGACTAAATAGAGTGCACCTGTGTGTAATCTAATGTCAGTATAAATACAGCTGCTCTGTGACGGCCTCAGAGGTTGCCTAAGAGAATATTGGGAGCAACAACACCATGAAGTCCAAAGAACACA